AAGAATCTCAGAAAGTACCATTCCAGCAGGCAACCTAACTCATCAGCCTTCTTGTGGCCTTTCACCTGACCGGGCACCAGTAACCTCACCATGATCTTCCAAACCACGTGACTGCTAATGGAATTCCAGCTTCTTGGATAGACACAAACAATCCATATGCCTGCTGCTGTCCCCTCAGATACTCGGGCAGAAGACACATGCAAACTCTTATTAGACACAATCATTGTGCTGGCATGAAATCACAATAGAATGATACTCTGCAACAGAACAGAGTAGGGGCCTAACAAAAGGGAAACAAATAGCAGACTGCTGATGTCAAGAAATGTGTTGTGTGAGAATAACATGGATTTTTGAAACAACCGCCGTTAAAGCCCAAGACATTTCTTATGACACTGAACAAAACATTTGCCATTTTGAGATACAACCTGACAAAACCTCCAAAACTCTGCTTGGGTATATTGGAAATGGATGTGTTTCCATAAGAACCCTCTGTTATTTTTTGTTTCTAGGCACATTTACTGTGGAGGTAAACAATAACTCAAATATCTGTTTCTGTAATTTTTCTGAAATTATGGGATGTGACTTTAACTATACAGCTCCTGTCACATCTCATCAATTATTACAATCTAACTGTACATCCTATCAAGGGTTATTACCTACCTTTATTAGAATGAATCTTACAGTGGTAAGAAAGCTATTAAAGCATAAGGATTTCTACAAATTGATGAGTTAGTTCAAGAAAGTGGACAAGAACCCTGATTCATCATGATGCAAAAGAAATACACTATGTTCTGGAAGGAGTGAAAAAGGATGGAGAACATCATTGGTGGGATACCTTATTTGGATGGTCACTGACAGCAACAGGAACTTTGATATTGTAACCATTATATTGTTAGCTCTAATAATGTTGTGATTAATGATTATAATAATACTGTACGTAAAGGTTTGATATGTAAGGAAGCAAATACTCCTAGTTCATGATGTCAAATCACCCAGTAATGTACAAAAATAATATGTAATTGATAGTAATATTTTACACTAAAAGCTGTATTCTTACCATGGATCTGCAGAGGTGCCAACATAGTATGTCAAACGTTTATAGAGTCATGGTTTAATTCTGGGTAGCAAAATACCACAAAGCCGCTCTCACAGATTTCCCCTCCCCCCCTACAGTGGTGGGGAAGAAGCAGAGGAAAAAGACAAGGAAGCTCATAAAATTGAGATAAGAACTATTTACTAATTGAATCTAAATGAATATATAGAAATACTACCAATAATAAGTAATTAAAATAGTAGAAAATAAAACATATGGTACCATATGATACAATTATGATACAATTGCTCACCACCTGCCGACCAATGCACAATTAGGTCCCAAGAAGTGCAAGACAGAGCCTGCAGATTGCAGCAGAGTCCTAGCAAAACCTGTCAGTGACAGCACAACTGGGAAACCTAACAAATCCACCAACTCACTCATGAATGAGCCAGCAAAGAAGTTAGCAAAGCAGCTAATGAAGGATTTTGGAAGAGTGTGAGAAAGTGAAAGTGTAAAGACGCCCAAACCCACTCCCCAGCCATGTACCTAGCATGACCTTCTATGGAATGAAATACACTTTCACTTAGTTTGGGTTAACTGTCTGAACTGTATGTTCCCCCACACTGCCTGTAGCGAGAGAGCTGGAAACACAGCTGAGAAAGACCTTGAATTTGGTGGAAGCATTCCCCAGAACCAACTAAAAAGACACCTTATCAGTGCTTTTCTCCATGTAAAGCCAGGATCATAGCTTCATACCAACCACTGTAAAGAGAGTTAACTCAAGAAGTGATCGTACCACCACTCTATGACGTGAAGTAAGTTGATTGTAGTCACGGGGTGGAGTGTGACATTTGCACTTGACCCCCAGCCGTACGTTGGATGAGGATAACTAGGAAGCAGCAGGTCTCATGCCCTCTGGTGAACCTGTGAGTTGGAAAGCTCCTGGCTCATGTGTTAAGGGAGTGAAGGTGCCTTGGAAAAAAACAAAATCAAAATGTGATTTTAAGCCCCAGAATGAAAGAAAACCAAAATACAGAGCTAAAATGAAGACATCTACCTTGTCTATACTATTGACTAGCAGACAACACCTTCACTCCATAAATATCATTGTCAGGATGGGCTCAGTTTGAGCTCTCTGTGAACTGCAGCTGGACTGTGCGACAGGTTACTCTGCCCTTGAGCAGGGACGACTCTCAGGGTTGAAATTGCTTACCTGACACTAAGATATCCTTCCTTGCCGAAGGTGGAAAGATGCCTTATTCATAACAGACCCTCACTAAGTGACTGATAACATGCTGAATTAATACTAATGAAACATTACTAAATCATGTATTTACTAAATATTAATTATTATAAACTTTGTATAGATGATTCCATTAGACATAAACCATTTTCCAAGTCTAAGACTAAGTCTGGACATGGGCACACCTGGGCTGTAAAAGGAGTTTATGAAGCAAGGAGACTGACTCCGAATTTTGTGACACTATAGGATGGTCTTCCTTACCCTTTACATCTCCAGTCTCTGTGTGAATTATTCTAACTCGATTCTAACTCAAATTTCCTTTCTATGTTTATTCCATGCACTAATTAATGTGGTGAATCTTGCCATGAAAGTTATTGAACCTTCTTAAACCAGTGTTAAACTTTGATAAATTCCATAAAATATATTGAATGCTGTCAAAATATTATTTTACCTCAGTAATACATATTTGAGCGAGCTGCATTCTACTCATCCGTGACACATAACCATGTCCCTTTCCTGGTTGGGTCATCACTGTAAAGGGGGATAATAAGGACATCAAAAATGCTGGCCCAACTGCTAATCACTGTGGGATTCTGGTTATGACAGTCCAGGCTTCTAGGATGACTTTGTACCACTGATGACATTTGGAAGTGATCATCCAGCCAACTTCCCACCCACTATACCATCCACTTCTTCAGCCTAGTGGTTGAAGAAATCTTCATCCTTCATCCTTCAACCTTCATCAAGCTGGCTATAAGGATACTGAGGGAAAGGATATCAAAGGCCCTGCAAAAAACGAGATACACAGTGTGCCCTTGTTTCTCCTTACCATTCTGGTTCACCAATGTCTTTCTTGTCCTTCAAATGCCTGAAGATGGTTGCAGGAAGACCTTACCCTATCTCCTTTCTAGGGACTGAGGTAGGCTGACCTGCCTGTAATTCTATCAATCCTCATCCATGCCCTTCTTGAAGATGAGTTTGATCTCTACCTTTTAGAAGGAGCCCAGGACCTTTCTGAGTGCTCTGGCACGTTTGAGGGCCCATCCAGAATCACAGGCAAGGGTGACGCAGCAGACAGAAACACTTGCAATGAGCCTGTCTAAAGCAGCTGTGATGAATGTCACTGGGCTGCTGGTGATTTCTACCTGGAGTCACACACAGACATGTCAGAGCACAGTCAATTTCCAGCATCTTAGCCGGCCTACTAGTGCACTACCCACACACACATGGGAGAATAGAGACAGGAGTCCTCCCTTGCACATGCAGAGACCGTTAACTGCAGCAGTCACAGTGTCCCTCTATGTATTACCCTGCTCTGCACTTGTCTGAGATGCCCCACCATGAAGCGCGGACATGGAGACCTCATTGCACTGCGATATTCTGGTGCTTTCCCAGGGGATGTTACTCTCCAAGTGAAGTGACCTCAAGACACTATCTGTACATGCCTTCACATGCTTTCATGCTACCCCCAGGAGTAGTTGGTGTCATTTGTGTTCAGTGAGGTCTGTCTCCCAGCACACACAAACATATACAGCACAAACATGGCTGTCTGACCTGGTCATTTGGTGTCTCTCCATGAGGGGATGAACAACCTCTCCAGACTGAGGTGAGAAGCCAGTCCTGGAATTACTGGTTCTTAGTGGCTGCTGTGTGATGGTGATCTGGGTGCAGCTTCCCCAGGATGTCCAGTGAACACAGGTACAGACCAGACCCTTCCCTGAGGGTCCACCCTGTCTCTCTCAGGATCCTGGCTGTGCCCCCAGCCTGCATGGTCACACATGTTAGATGTTCACTGGTGTTTTCCTCTCTGGGACACTTGCCAGTCCAGCCATCCCAAACCCTCTCTGAATTATGCCACCTCACTGCCTTCTCCCCAGCTGAGCCCAGCAGAGCAGCCCTACTGAGACTGGTCCCACAGCAAGGAATGGAGGCCAGTGAGAATGTTTATCCAGCCTACATACTGAGGAGATCTCCACCCAAGGTAGCCTGCAGTGTCAGGTGCCAAACTTGCTCCCCAGGACAGCATGAGAGAATTGGCCTAGGGGATCCACAGGACGGGCCTGTCGCCCCAGTGACAAGGCAGCCTGTCCCAAGCTTCTACCTTCAGCAAAGGCTTTCACTTTCCATGTTTTCCTTGCACACAGACTCATACCCTGTTCTTTTGGGACAGCCACCTCCCAACACAGCCTTTACCCAACAGAAGTTCATCTATGCTGGCCTGTCCAACCATTTGCACACACCCCACTCCAGGCTCTCCAGAGTCCCCAGTACTGCTCTGCAGAGCAGTACTGGCAGTACTGTTCTGCAGGGCAAGTGGGCCATGCTGCCGAGGGCTATGCTGTTCAGACTGGGAGCAGACCCAGCTCTAGCTGGCTACTGCCCCCTCCACCTCAGCACACAGATGCTGACGCTGAAGCTCTAGAGAAGGTCTTGGGAAAAGGACCTTGGACAAACAAGTTGGTGCAGGGTCCTTTATCTTGTTTAAACACACAGAGAGAACAGATCCTTAGTTACACAAAGTCTCTGGGTCACATATAACGGGCAGAAAGAGAATGATGAATGACTTGTGGGGGTATTTTTTGGTTGGTGGTGGGGTTTGTTTTGGTTTTGGTTTGGGTTTTTTTTCCCTTTTTTTTTTTTGGTGGACGGCAATAATACACCAAACAAAAACTGAAAAACAAAGGAAACAACCTACCAAAACCAGGCCAGGCCTGTAAAGTGTTATGAGTGATGTGCAAAAAGAGATAGGCAGTTCACTACTGTTTCTGAAAAGCAATCAGAGAGGAGTTTCCTTACAGCAGCCTTGAGCTCCTGGTTCCTCATGCTGTAGATGAGGGGGTTCACTGCTCGAGGTACCACTGAGTACAGAAATGACACCACTAGGTCAAGGGATGCAGAGGAGATGGAGGGAGGCTTCAGGTAGGCAAACATACTTGTGCTAATAAACAGGGAGACCACAGCCAGGTGAAGAAGGCATGTAGAAAAAGCTTGTGTTGTCCCTGCTCAGAGGGGATCCTCAGCACAGCCCTGAAGATCTGCACATAGGACAGAACAATGGAAACAAAACAAACAAATGCTAAACAGGCACTAATCACAAGAAGCCAAACTTTCCTGAGGTAGGAGTGTGAGCAGAAGAGCTTGAGGATCTGGGGTACTTCACAGAAGAACTGGCCCAGAGCATTGCCCTGGCAGAGTGGCAGTGAAAATGTATTGGCCGTGTGCAGCACAGCAGGGAGAAACCCACTGCCCCAGGCAGCTGCTGCCATGTGGGCACAAGCTCTGCTGCCCAGGAGGGTCCCGTAGTGCAGGGGTTGGCAGATGGCAACGTAGCAGTCGTAGGCCATGACTGTGAGAAGACAATACTCTGCTGAAATGAAAAAGACAAGCTGAAAGACTTGGGCAGCACATCCCAAGTAAGAGATTGCCTTGGTGTCCCAGAGGGAGTTGTCCATGGCTTTGGGGACAGTGGTGGAGATGCAGCCCAGTTCAAAGAGGGAGATGTTGAGGAGCAAGAAGTACCTGGGGGTGTGGAGGTGGTGGTTGCAGGCTACAGTGGTGATGATGAGTCCATTGCCCAGGAGGGCAGCCAGGTAGATGCCCAGGAAGAGCCAGAAGCACAGGAGCTGCAGCTGCTGCCTTTCTGTGAAAGCTTGGAGTAAGAACTCAGTAATTGATTTGTTGGACATCTTTTTCCTTTGTTTTGGGAACCTGTCCAAGGAAGGAAGGTTAGTGATAAGTTAAAAATTACTAGTCTGATGAAAAGCTCCTACCATTTCTCACAGTAGTCCCCCTCCCTGAGCTGAATCAGGAATGAGCCAGCTCATTCTCAACCCCACCAACTAAATAATGTTCTGCATGAATGTATAAAATACAGCATAGATGTAGAGTGTCCTTGAGGAACCCGCTGGGGGCAGAACCCTCAGTGTCAGAGTCAGAATAGAAGGTAACCCATACCCTTGCCCCAAGAGCAGAGAATTATGGACAGGTCTGGGAAAAGGGGAGAATACAGCTATGCTCTAAAGAAGTGAAGGAAGGGGAGGAAGGAAGATGAGCATGCAGAGAAGCCTTCTGCTTACCCAGCTGTGTTCTGCACCTCACAGACAGAGACACTGTAGGGCATTTCTTTTTAGCCTGCTGGTTGTGTATCAATTGTACAATGCAGGCTGTTCTAGACCGGAGGTCCAGCTGCTGAGGAGTTGACTCATGCCCTGGTCCCTGTGTTCCTGGGGATGAGACTGTGCTGGGTGGGAGAGAACACCATGAGCTTGGTCTTGAAAAGATGTCTAAACTACAGGGTATGGCAAGGAGGTGCCTGAATTCACCCTCTCAGGG